TTGGCTATCTGTAATGATAGAGGGTTCTTCCCAATGACCACATGTGTAAGGAACATTCTTCCTATTGATCACTACAGTAATGTACCATGAGCTACATAGATACATAGTTAGCCTGGTTGAAAAAACCTACAAAAAAAGTCTATCCAGTTCAGCCAATAGAAAGGGGAAATTTATATACAATCCTATACCCACCCGTGATCCAGAGGAAGGCAAAAACCCCAATAAAGCAGGATCCAATTTGCTCCAGCAGGGGAAAAAATTCCTTCCTGATCCCCCAAGAGGCAATTGGATATTCCCTGGATCAACTTTACCTCTAAAGCTAACACCTATGCTTTTTTGCTTTTGATCCATTTTTAATGCTTTTTGCATTTTTATACACATGTTCTTGCAACATTTACTGCATTTTGCTTTTATCAGCTTTTTTTTTGTTAAAGTGGAAATGTTTTTGTTGCTGGCCAGAAAAAAATTTAAAATGCGGCAAAAATTCACTACATGCATTTCAGCAGCTTCTTCATTGAACTATGTTATAGCAAAAATGCAGTTTTTTGCATTTAAAAAAGTCCCTGACGCTTTCCATAAACGCAGCAGATCAAAATGTCCCATAGGAAATCATATTACATGGACTGTGGTATATCAATATCCCTAAGCTGAGGATATAGTAAATACTAGCAGGGGTTCCCTGAGTCCAGAAAGTTATTTCAAGGGTTCCTTCATGTTAAAAGGTTGAGAAAGGCTGTATAAGGTCATCTAGAGACTCAGGGGTTGATCTACTAAACTGAACAGTGCAAAGTCTGGTGCAGCTGTGCATGGTAGCGAATCAGCTTCTAGCTTCAGCTTGTTCAATTAAGCTTTGCCAATAAAACCTGGAAGCTGATTGGTTTCTATGCTGAGCTGCATCAGATTTTGCACTCTCCAGTCTTAGTTAATCAACCCCATAAAGTTCTACTATGCGCATATGGCCAGTATTAAAGGGTAGTCCATCTACAACTAATTTTTGTATGCCAGCCCATTTCCAACATTATGAGCAATTTAGTTCCCTTTGATGGTTTATTATTTATTTTACATTATGAAATAAGAGCAACAAGATTCCTGCTGTTGCTGCAGGAGAGTGAGACTCCATGATGAGAAAGGGCACAGATGAGAATTCCAGTGGTGGTGTCCTTGAGAGATACACTGCAGCTGACTCAGCCATTAAAAATCAACTCTAAGCAGAAATAATAGATTAGGGTTGTCAGACCCTTTAAATATCAAACCACAGTATAAACAAATGTAATATTTTTTTTTCAAATGAGCATGCACAAAAACCTCTTGTGTTTTCTATAGGCCTATATCTTTTGATGAGATCTTGTTCTGCTTCATTCACTCTACATTTATTCATGCACAGAAAAGATCTAGTCATGAAAAGTACCATTGTATTTAGGCAGATAAACCTGTCACTAGTTTACCTCCTGGGAACAGAGGGCATTGATAAATTCTCCTCATTACTGCTCATTTGTCTTGATGCTGGATTGTCTCCAGAATTAAAGACACTTGTAGTGTCACCGGGTGATTTGCTTGCTTATATTGCTGCTGGCACAGGTGGAAATAGCCCATGTTTTCAGACTCCCAATGTTTAACTCTTGCCCTCGCCCTTTTCCTTCAGATTCCATTGTCTTCATTTCTTCCTTCTGTCAATGCTCTTTTAATAGGGGGAAGTTTACATTGCCTTTCCTGTGAACCTTTTGGCCCAAGTGAAATTCTTACAGCCTAATGCAACTTCCTTCCTTCAAATATCTTAGAGTAAAAAGAAAACCTAAATCCATCACTGAGACTGACTATGTAATAGACTCAAAACTTTGTAGGTACCAATAAAATGGTAACATTTGTTTGAAAGATATTGCACTGCTCCTGTGTTTTTTTCCTAGTTTGGGTCGTATACAGCAAATATATTTATGACCATGGACTAATGGGTTGTATTGTATTAAAATGTCAAACAGAATAACTTATGGAGTCCTTGGAAAGCCTAGAAACCAAAGCCTTTGAAGTCAACATCCGGCCTTGTGGCAGACAGTCAGATCAAACATATAAATGGGTCATCTCACTGAACACAGCCTCTTATTACTCTGCAGAGCAATGGCCTCTGCCGGAGGATAAGCTCGCTAATAAGATTCCATCGTTCCTTAGCAGAATTTTAAATCTCTTTCAGTTTAGTGGTGTCTGTGGAAGGGAGCTAGCTCAATGGTGGATTCTGTTTAGTCAATGCAGTTTTTAAACTTAATGCCCAACTTCGAGCAAAAAAAAAAAAAAGATCCTGTGCAGTGGGGCTATTACCACACTGCAATGGTTAATAGCTTTTATTTGCCTGGAGTTGGGCTTTAAAGATCAACTCTTGCAGAAGCTTTTCTAGTTGTGGATAAAGTGGGAAAGGGTTAGGACCCCTGTAAGCTTATATAGCTATCTATGTCCCTGTTGTCAATATTTCCCTTCATATCCTGTCCTGGTGACAAAGGGTCACAAGGAAAGCAAGCAAAAAAAAATCTATCCAAGGGGGACAGAGTCAGGAACAGAAATAGTTTTTTTAATGCTTTTCTGCACAGACAATCCTAATATCTTTTCTGGCATCACAAAAGACACCGGAATGTTAAATGATTAGTATAAAGTACAACAAAAGGCTCCTATATGACCGTCCAAACAAGTACCAAATGTGGCTACTATGAGATGCACAAGCCTCATAAAGTATACAAAAAAACCTATTTACCTTCCTTGACAGCCAGATTCTCCTTCATATTTATTGTACATGCTCTACTTTACAGACACTACAGCTCACAGTGGAAGGGTTTCAGTAACAGAGGTAGTGCTGACAATCCAGAAAGCAGTAGACATGACTAGGTATGGCCAGGTTCTGAGTGATAAGCTAAGGCTTGTGAATCATCAGGGACAATGTTGGTAGCCATGCCCCCTGCAACATTTCTCATCCTACCATAGTGCAAGCAGACAAAGCATACATGAGAGTGGCAAATCTACATGGAATTCAGGAGCAGTCCAGCCTTGTTGCCACACCATCCCAGGAAGCTGCATTAGGTGGACTTTGCTGGTAAGTAATTGTGGGACTTTGCTGGGGAACCAATATATGCTGCATGGGATACCATGGTTCCATGGAGGCCAACCGTCAGGAAAACAGAAGAGGGCAAAGTTAACAGAGGAATTACATCGGTATCACATTGGTATACTACTACATTATTGTACAATTGGCAGGCTGGGAATGTGTTCTTGACCAATTATGGTCGCTGTAGTGGAGGTCGAATAACTGACTTTGGTATTTGACCCAGATCACAAGACTAGCTACATAGAATTAAAAATCCATTGTCAAGTAAAACAGTTTTCATGTGTATTTTTCAACTGTCCATTTAGGCGCTTGCCTTAAAGCCTCACCCTGGGCTGCTGTTAGGTGTACAGATGTAGTGGGGTCCCCCTCACTACATGGCTTAAATATTAATTTCTCTTGGGGGGAAAGCAAGGAATAAGCTTACCTTATTCATTGATCCCACAGGCTTTCTCCTCTATGTGAGATTGGTCCCCTGAAGTTGCTTCACTTTTCTGCCTGGCCACAACTCTTCGAGGTCATTGCAGACAGCGCAAGACCAGCATTCTGGAGCATTGGACTGTTTCCCCCTTGCCAAAAAAGCATTTAACTAATGCAGTGCAGGGCGGACACCACTGTATAGGTATATTTTAAAAAATTGACAGCAGTCCAGAATGGGCTTTAACCTACTTGTATGCTTTTGGGTTATGGTGTGAAGCTGGGGACATCCAAAGAAGCTCACTTAAACCAATCAACTATAACTGACCACTGACAGGTTAAGTGAATACCACTGATTATCTCATTATGCCATCTAAAATTTGGTGGGATATGTTAGAGAGCAAATAAACATGGCATCGTTGAAGTTGCTGTGTTGAAAGCAGAAAAAATGGGCATCACAGTTTGTTGTGTATGAGGCTGTGTAGCTGAAGACCAGTCAGGGTGCCCAAGTTGACCCGTGGTTATTGCCCGAAGTGCCTACAATGGGCACGTGAGCATGAGAACTGGACCACAGAGCAATTGCAGAAGGTGTGGTCTTCTCTGATGGATCACATTTTCTTTTACATCATGTGGATGATTGAGTGCGTCTGCATCACTTACCTGGGGAAGAGTTGACACCATGATACAGTATGGGAAGAAGGCAAGCCAGTTGAGGCAGTGTGATGCTTTGGGCAATGTTCTACTGGGAAACCTTGGGCCCTGCCATTCACATGGATGGTACCTTTCACATGCACCACCTAGCTAAACATTGTTGCTGACCAAGTACACCCCTTCATGGGAACAGTATTTTCTGATAGCAATGACCTCTTTCAAGAGGATATTGCCATACTGCAAAAATGGTCCAAGAATTGTTTGACTTGGCATCCAAGTTCTCCAGATCTCAATCCATCGAGCCTCTGTAGGATGTGCTGGAAAAACAAATCCAATCCATGAAGGCCCCACCTCTCAACCTTAAAGGACTTAAAGGATCTATTTCTGACAGCTTGGTGCCAAATACCACAGCATACCTTCAGAGGTCTAGGTACTAGGGTCATTGGCTTGAATCCCAACCACGGAACCACCTGCCTGGAGATTGCATGTTCTCCCTTTGCTTGTGTGGGTTTCCTCCGGGTACTCCGGTTTCCTCCCACACTCCAAAGACTTGCTGGTAGGTAAATTGGATCCTGTCTACAGTGGCCCTAGTATGTGCATGTATGAATGTATGTTAGGGACCTTAGATTATACTCCCCTTGCGGGTTAGGTACTGATGCGAATGTACAATACATATGTAAAGAGCTGTGTAAGTTGATGGTGCTATATAAGCACCTGAAATAAAAAATAAATAAATAAAAATAGTGGAGTCCATGCCCAAATGGGTCAGGCCTATTTTGGCTGCAAAAGTAGGACCTACCCAATATTAGGTGGGTGGTCATTAAGTTATGGCTGATCGGTGTAGTAAAATACAACCATTGTACAGGGTGTTCCCTGGTGTGCATTGCACCTAGGATCACATTGCTGCAAGGCTGCAACTCTAACTGCTTTATGCCCTTGCTGTCCATCATAAGCATTGAAAACAGCAGATACAAGATTGAAACTCGATGTCTGTGAAAATGTTTACTAGACCACCAAACAATGTAACAACAACATCTACTTTATGTTTGCTATTCAAACTTATAACGTTTAATTAGGCAATTTATTACACCTATGTAAACGTATATGAGCAATGTGATTTTCATTAATAAACAATGACTTTATAGTGATAAAAAGAAATTCAGCATATATGGTGATTAGTATTATTGCAAAACTATAAAAATGTATATTTCGCCAAAAGCTGTAATTATTGTTTACTGCCATATTCAGTATAATTTATTTAGTAACAAGGATTTAATGCTGAAAAAAGTTAACAAACATAATTTATCATGAACTAAAGTAGCTGCTAAGGATTAGCCTGTTATATGTGCTCCAGTGTGATTCATATGGTAATATACAGTATGTCTTATTGCACAATATGCTAGTTTTATAGCATAGGTATAGTTGAGGCACTAAGGATTATTTATAAAAATGCGTCTAGTTGCAAACTTAAGCTGGCCTTGCAGGATTAGAATTTTGTTTGAAAATTTTATTTTCAAATGTTCTTTCCTAATGGTTTATGGGGACAAATAGACAACATAGTGACAAGAGAAATTGGAGGTGGCGGATTAAATTTTTCTTCATTCCTAGCAGAACAACCAGAATTCCTAGTTTATTCAGGTGGTTGAGCCATTTTTACTAACCCCTGATCACCCCCCCCCCAAGCTCCAGAGGCAGCCATATGGGGGTATATACATGCCACAGCTGTGATACAAAGCATCGCGATGCAGCAAAAATTATCCCCCTTGTCATGTTCGGCAAGTGGTACTGCCCGCTGTACAAATAAATGAGGCTGTGCTGCATCCGCATGCAATGCGGTTGCAGCGCAGTGGTGCAGGCTTTAAAGCAGGCAGTGAAGAGGCAACATAATGTCTCCTTACCATCTATCAAACACCATCTAAAAAGCTATCCACTGCGGATCGCACTTCAGTGTAAATGTATAAAAGTGTAAATGAGCACTAAGGCTCCTTTCATACGGGTTGGCCGATTGGGTCTGCCTGTCTGTTTTTCAGGCAGACCTGATCGGACCATCCATTGTTCTCTATGGGGAGGTGGATGTTAACAGACAAGTGTCTATATATACCCGCCTGCATCCAATCCGATACATTTACATCCGACTGCCCCATGCAGAACAGTGGACTGTGTCCGTGTCCATGTCCGCTCTGCACAAGCATAGTGGACACAAACCTATCACCTGTCTGCTGAGCGGGGGATTTGTGGAAAGATTCCCCGCTAAGTGAGCAGATCTGTTTGGCGGAGTTTGCCTGTGTGAAAGGGCCCTAACTGTTAACTGTGGTCCTCAGACAGGAAAAACTGTATTTGTAATACACATGTGCTGGAGAAGTGTCATCCAGACTTAGAATTTTCCTGGTCATGAACATTAACTCTTTTAAAAGATTGTGGGGTCAATTTACTAATGTTGTTTATGAGATATTTGTGTTTTATACAATTTCTACAATATAAAAATACATTTGTTAATTATCCTGTGGTCTAGCCACTTGCTATTTAACAAATGTATTAATTAGGAGTTGAAACAATTAGCACAGATATTACTACCACTACTAAATGTGACAGTTCCAGCCCAGAGAAGCTGGTTGGCAGGGAGCCAGCACATGCCAGCATCCTAACAACCAGTGACTTATCTTTGACTTGCTCATTCATTTGTTACCCAGGGATTTTGGGACTTGTGGTCTAGCCACTTGCTATTTAACAAATGTATTAATTAGGAGTTGAAACATTTAGCACAGATATTACTACCCCTTCTAAATGTGACAGTTCCAGTCCAGAGAAGCTGGTTGTCAGGGAGCCAGCACATATCAGCATCCTAACAACCAGTGACTTATCTTTGACTTGCTCATTCATTTGTTACCAAGGGATCTTGGGTGAATGCTACATTGACGAGCAGGGCCCTATGATTCCTCTTGTACCAAATTGTAGTGTAATTGTAATGTCTGCCTTCATTTTGTAAAGCGCTGCGCAAACTGTTGGCGCTATATAAATCCTGTATAATAATAATTAGCAACAATATTGCTAATATTACATGGCGCTAGCAAAGTTTCAACAGGCTGCTCATTCTGCTTCCTGAATAATACACTGCAGTATTTTTTTCAAATGATTCTGTGATTTACAAACCTCCCTTGTACGTGCACTTTAGGCTGTAGCTGTGTTCATTGGTGGTGTGCCAATAAATACTCCAGCCGCATTTTGCAAAAGCTCTGATGCAATATAGCTATAGCACAGGTTCTGTGAATGGAGGAGGGGGGCAGAAAGGGCAGGCATAGGTGGCACTCTTGATGACTGCCTGTGACAGGTCCTCTGGCTCTATTAATCCCCACAGCACCAGAAAAATAATTCCTGTGGGGTACGGTAGGGGAGCAGAGAATTGAGGATTACAGCTATGACAGCCAACACCAGCACACGATACACTACAGGTTATATGTAAATACAGTCCCTTGTGCTATGTTTTACCTATACTGAGACTTTAAAACAAGCTCTTACTGACCTATACAGAGGCAGTGACAATTATCATGGCTTGTTTATTGTGAATTCTTTAAATGTTGCTGGATTGAAAAGTAGCAATAGTTATTAATTAAATAACAAATTTCAGCCATTGGCAGTCTACACTGGGTGCCTGATTGCCAGTGGCAGAAATCTGTTATATAATGTATAATTATTGTTGCTTTTCAATCTGTACCATCTGTACCTGCACAGTCAGTTTTGAGAAGTACCTATGAGTATGAGATGAATTACTTGCCAATATATTACATCTTTGGGAAAATACAGTAGCAAGAATTTCCAGCAGTAGCTATTTTCTGCCCACTTCTACATGGCAATGGTGTATCTGGATTCTGCAGTTATTTATCTTACAGCTTAGAAAATAATCAGACACTCTCATTTAGTTTAGTAATGGCTGTGGCTGGTGGGAAGAATTGGAATTTTTGATGGTGATGTCTTCCCACAAGGGTTTCATGGTATAAAAAGTCAGAATGTAATTCAACTTGCCTACAAACAAACTGAAATGTTAGTTTCGGGTGGAATAACGAATCAATGACAGCTCATTTGTGAAATCAATACTATTACTGCTCTTAGATCTAAAATACATCTGATGCCTAAATATTTACAAAAACTAACCATTTTAGATTATCACAATACGGACAAATATCAGTTTTTTGTTCAACCAATAATAAGCATAGTTTAGACTAGACACTGTGGATGAGATTTACTAAAACTAGAGCACTCAGAATCTGGAGCAGATGTGCATGAGAGCCAATCAATCTATAACTCCAGCTTTTTCAATTAAACTTTGGCAATAAAACCTGGAATCTGATTGGTTTCTATGCAGAGCTGCACCAGATTGTGCACTCTGCAGCTTTACATAGTTAGTCTGGCTGAAAAAAGACAAAAGTCCATCCAGTTCAACCATAGAAAAAAAAAATGTATAATCCTATACTCACAGTTGATCCAGAGGAAGGCAAAAAGAAAACCCAGCAAAGCATGGTCCAATTTGCTCCTGCTGGGAAAAAAATTAATTCCTGATCCCCCGAGAGGCAATCGGATATTCCTTGGATCAACTTTACCTATAAATGATAGTATCCAGTTATATTCTGTGTATCTAAGAAAGAATCCAGACCTTTTTTGAAGCAATCCATAGAGCTGGTCAGAACCAACTCTTGATGGAGTCTATTCCACATGTTCACAGCTCTTACTGTGAAGAAACCTTTTCGTATTTGGAGATTACATCTCTTTTCCTCCAGACTGAATAAGTGCCCCCTTGTGATGACTTCAGGGTGAATAACTCTACACCGAGATCACTGTATGAATTACTGATGTATTTATACATGTTGATCATATCCCCCCTTAATCTCCTCTTCTCAAGAGAGAATAAATTCAGTTCCTCTAATCTTTCCTCTTAGCTGATCTCCTCCATGCCTTGTATCAGTTTGGTTGCCCTTCTCTGTACTTTCTCCAGTTCCCCAATGTTCTTTTTGTGAATTGGTGCCCAAAACTGAACTTTAGTAAATAACCCCGTGTGTAGCTAAAACTGTACAACATATGCTATAAATGCACTTAAAAAAAAAATCACAGTAAGTTAAACATGCCATTTCTACTTCTGTTAGTGCTGATGTAGCTTCATCACAGACAGAGGCCCAAAGTATGGATATTCCTGTGGGGGAAGGGAGGGGGGAGGTACAGGCAGCTCTGAAGCCAAGGCCCCTTCTCCCTTCTTCAGCTCCCTTTGTACTCACTATTTTTTCCATCCCTCTATGCTGTGCATCCCTATGCCTCCTCTACTACTTTTGTAATTTGAAAAGTCTGAGTCCACAGCCTCCTGCAGCCACAGCTTCCACAACTTCCCTCAACTGCTAGTTTCCATACTCACCTGCAGCCAACAGTTTCTACAAGTTCCTTTAGCCACCAGCTTCCACTACCTACTGCAGCCACTAGCTTTGGAGGACATTAGTATAGCGATAGCTGTTGACCTGCATTGTGAATGATGCTGGCTAGAGCAGAGTGCTGTCATTCACAAAACACAAGCTGACAGCAACACAATCTGACAGCTACTACAGTAGTCTCTCTCAGACAAATGTGGTAGCTGCTGGCTTGTATTGCTATTGTTTTTTTTTTTTGAATGACAGTGCTCCTCTCCAGCCGCTGTTATTTACAACACAGGCTACCAGGTATTACTGTAGTAAGCTGGTGACTATGGGAGGATGTGTGCTACAAAGCATCCTTTTACTGGATGAGGGACTTTTTAGGTGCCAAAAACACATGGCACACAAATTGCTACATAAAATACATAATCATTTTTACTACATTATGTATACACATTTTTAAAAAAAATGATGACCTAGTAATAGTCTTTATATCCACAGAACATTGTACAA